ATAATTGATCAATCGTTACCATTCATGCATTTACCAATTATCAATGGATTTCATAAAAGATACAAAATGTAGTAGAATATTATCTCGATTTTCGTGTACATCGATTGACAATTAAACTCCATTCGAATGACCTCACACTTGATTTCAACATCCCATAATATCTCGGTGAGATGGAAAAATAATAAACATCAGAAATAGAACTTAAATTGGAAAATATTCGAATCGGAAGATAAAACGTTGAAAAATAACTTATCTAGTTTGAATTTGGTGAAACAGACTTTGGATTCGAACTCAAGACGTCGAAAAATATAAAATATGTATTTTTCGAAAAAGTTGACTTTTTGGTCAAAGTTAACAATCAACCTTGGTCAAAGTCAACGATCAACAGTTTGGTCAAAGTCAACAATATGAGTTGACTCAGCCAAAGTTGACCTATTGCAAATCAACTCAGTGTGTTGTCTCAACAGGTCGGTTCGAGATAAATTGGTTCGGTATAATCCTACTGGTTCAGCCCGGTCTGGTTAAACCAGATCGACTCTAAAAAGTTCCTTGCAAGCCGAGAAGCCCCACGCACGATGGTGGAACGTGACGACTACATCTAGGCCGGTTCGAATGATCAATTACTCCCTGTTCAATTTCTCATCAATCTAATCAATATCAATTCAGAAATCAAGCCCAAAACACCATGAAATAACCCGAAAATGAATCAGAAACTTACCCTAGTGGCAGATGACGGAGACATGACGGTGGAGCGACAGACACAGTTGGATTTTATTCAGAGTCAGCAGTGGAACACCACGATGAGGTGAAACGACGATGAAATCGACAGAAAATCACTAAAAATAGCGACGACGCTAGGGTTTCTGACGAAGCTTCACGAAGCTCTCACAATAATCTATGACAAATCTCGACTAGCCGTTAAAGGGGTTTTGATCATAAAGGAGCGACGATTACTTTCTTGGTGATGGTGACGATCACGACGATCGGAGACAATGACAACAGGCGATGGACGACGATGGGGAGGGTTACCTTAGGGAATTTTTTTTTGGGGGTTTTATTCTAATTTGATTTGTAAAAAGAATTTTGAGGATTTAGAATTCTGGTTTTTTTAAACATTATTTTAATATTTTATATCAAGGAACAGTGCTAGTGGTAGGGGCATGGGCTCCCTTACCCTTTAGTCACGGTTGAACTCCCCACAGCCATCCTTTCCTTTTTCTTATTTTTTTAGACAATAGATGGGTAAATTCATAAATTAGTCTTAAATTACTTAAAACTAGGAAACTGACCCATAAATTTTAGAAGTTTACAAATTGGACCCTAAAATATAATTAAATAAATTAAATCCAATAAATTAAAACTAGGGGTGTTTCATGACTGTAGGTGCATAATGTGAATTGCACAGAACTTATGAATTTGGTTGATAGAATTATAAAGATATTTCCGAAAATCGAAGATGCTCGACCTGTGCTCCTCAGGAGTAAAGGCACTACGTTTGCTAAACAGTGCAATTGACTAGGCAAAGTTGCTTCTTCAATACTGCAGTGAATCCAGTAAATTCTATCTGTTTTTTTTTTGCTTTATTCATATACATTTTGTTATGGCCTGATTGTTTATGGAGGGCAATGTTCTTAAATATTGCCATTGCAAGGCCGGTCGTTGATGTTCGTGAGCTTAAATGGAAAATTCCTATTCTTTATTTTATACTACTACATTTGTTTTGTTGGTGTTGATAGCTCTCTGCAATTACTTTCAGGTAATAACGACAGATGCATAGTTTCAAGATGTCACAAATCAAAAAACTTGTTGGTAGAAGGTTTATGCCAAATTCGGAGTATGGTTCCCGCTATGCTTGCTGTTGAGGTTTGTCAAATTACATGTCGAATCGATTATATTTCACCCTGCTTTAGTAGAGAAGCTGTTTTTCTTCTTGTATCCCAATCCCTACAGTCGAATCGATTATATTTTACTTTTAGATAACTTTTCTTCATGATGTTGTGTTCTTTCCTCTCATCAATAACGAAATGCTATTTGCAGATCTCTCAAATTCTTGATGATCTAAGAGCTGCGAAATTTATCCCTGATGAACTTGAAGAAGAGGCCGGGAAGGTTGTGAGAGAATCGCTCCGGAAGGGAACTGCTGCATCAGATTCAATGGAGTATGCTGAAATTAAAGCTCTTCAAACAGCAGCATTGCGACTTCATATTACATCTTTAGTAGCCATCTTCCTAGAGAAAAGATCCATAAAGAAGTTGCTGGAAAAAGTCGCGACTCCGACCAACAAAAGAAAAAGATCTTAAGATATCTTTTGTATCTATTGAGGGAGTATGCGAATCAGATTATCGAAGTGCAAACAGACAACACAACTGATCAGAATGAAGGAGCGTTTGGAAGTAACGACCCTCATACTAATTTTATGCACGCTCACTCTTTTAACGTGGAGTCTTGTACGGAGTATAAGCAGTATGATGCTCATGATAAGTATTGATACACTTCCTGAGGAGTTTAGATGCCCCATTTTTTCAAGACATATGTATGATCCTGTTATCATCGCTTCTGGACAAACATTTGAAAACGGGAGTGAAACTGGCCCATCTGTCACTAACTCAAAATGCTACCAGGAAGGATATGTTATCAAATGGTGCATGAAGTATGGAATCACCATTCAGGACCCAAGCATGCAACCTGACGTGTTTCACTTGCTGGAAACTTCTTCCACTTCCATAGCTAGTTTTGGCAGTTATATAAACTATCCGCACCATCCATTGGACATCAGCAATATATCACTTGGATCTTTAGATACTAGTTATACTTCGGATGGATCGCGTAACAAGAACGGGGATGGCTTAAGTTTGGCACCAGAGCAGAAGAGTGATGATCTTTGCCGAGATCATTCTTTGGGATGTGCAAGTAAGATGGATTTGGAGTCTCTATCCAGCCTTGCGGACCTGACTGGGATTCACAATATAAGATGGTTGAAGATATGAAAAATCATTTGGAATCTGACAATCTAGCCTGTTTTTCAATGTCATCTGAGAATTTCATCGAGCCTCTAATCAAATTTTTGAGCAGTGGTCATGATTTACATGATATAGAGCATCAAAAGCTGGATTTCAGTTGTTATCGACATTTCTTAACCAATACAGGTAATATGTTCTATCGTGTGCCATAATAACTTGATCATGTTTTGTTAGTGTCTGTTATCCATTATTGGAGTAGAGAGGCTTACTTCATTGGTTTCCGAGCTTCTTGCAGAAGTGGCATAAGGTACCTAAATAAAGATGCATATAGTCTGTTGTCATTGTTCCTTGACTCGGAAGAAACTAAAGAAGTTCTCACATCATGGAAGTATTATCTTGCCATAGCAGTTGTAGATCAAAGATTGCTGCATCTGGTGCCATTATTTCCTTTTTAAATATCCTCCACTTGAATATCACATATTTCCGAGAACAAGCCATTAAAATTTTACGCAATCTGTCCTCAAGCACGGATGTTTGTTCCAATTTGGTGCGTTTGGAATGCATCCCGAAATTTGCTCCATTCTTACAGGACAGCACCCTCGCAAGGCACTGTATAGTTGTGTTGAGAAATTTGAGCCGTAATGAATAGGCCAGGGCTTCTATTGCTTAAACTTCTGGATGCATCGGTTCTGCCACCATGTTACTCGAGAGCGGCAGTCACAAAGATCAAGATCACGCGTCGGATATTTTTCTTTCATTGTTCTCGCAATGTGTCGAGTATTGTCTGTTAGTAATGGACGAGAGTGACATATTCGCTGCCCTTTTTGATGTATCTGTTAATGGGAGTGACAAAGGGAAGGCAAGTGCATTGGAATTGCTACGACTCCTTAGAGGTACTGACAACGATGAGCAACAATTAGAATGCTTTCGATCCGACAATGTAGCACTGAAGATGCTAACAACAACGCCAGAGACGGAAGTCTCACAAGGCATGAACTTGTGCCAGATTGGTATAATTTAAGGCCGACTGGGAAATGAAGGCCATCTCTTCTTCTGTTAGCTTTCTTAGAAGCTCGGCTGGGTTACCTCCCCAAACCTGTAATTGTAATGTAAACAAATTTAGAACTTCATTACAGCCTAACCTACTTCAGTAAAAACAATAGATGAAGTTTGTTATTTTGCCCATAAATCATACAGATTATAGTTTCATTACAAGTTTTGTAACCCTAGCTCCCTCGTTAAAAATTATTAGTCCTGTCCTTATGACACAAGATACCATGACATTGAGAAAAGCACTAAGAACTAGGATGATCACCATATCATACAAATTCATAATCATTCCTCACAGTCATTGCTACATTCTTAACCTTACCACGTAATTGCTTCAACTTATAAACCATTCTCAAATGCCATCATGGACCTTGGTTGTAAAAATGTTCCATCTCTGGTGCATGCTTGGTGCAAACGACATCCTTAGTTTCAATTTCGTAACACGATAATGATCGTAAGATTCAAAAATTAAAAGAAAAATCAAATTCTAGAAATATTAAAAAAATGTATAAGATTAAAAAAAACACTCGTGATATATTTTTGGAAGTAATATTCTTTTGTCAAAAATTATTATAGTTTTAAATACTTTTAAAAATAAAAGATATGAAATCTTAAAATTAGGAAATCTGAAAAAAAGGCTCAAGTTTTTTTATACTTTTCTATTTTTAAGTAATTATTTTTAATTTTTTTTATAAAAAGTTAAGTAAATTATATTTTCAAAAACACTAATAACTTGATAAAACTAATTATGATTTTTTTAAAAATGAAATTTTTTAAAATTACTTAGAAAAAATGTTTTTTATGGGTTTTATATATTTTAGATTTTATTATAAATGACAACAATTTATTAGGCATATCATGTTTTCAAACAGAAAAATATGAGAGACTGAAGTAGTAATAAATAATAAAAAAAATTAAAAGTATAGCATATGAAACATATATTAAGCGTTTTGTTTTCTTCGTTTAATATTGTAAATTGTGTGAAAAAAAGAAAGAAAGAAAAGAAACATAGAGCTAATTTCCTCGTATTCTTTCTTCTTTGGCTCTCTCTGGTGTTAGCTTCCATCGTCTCTGCGCCCCCATGAGGTACGCCTTTAGCTTTCACTCCAGTTTCTTCCCGTTTCGCAGCTTCTCATCAATGCTGAAATCCTAATCAGAAACTGTAATAACTTTTTCGTTTGTTTACTGCTTTCAAACTGATATATTTTGTTAATTTATTAACTATTTTTGGTGTTTTTCTTATTATTTTTATCAGGGAGTGTTAGGGTATTGGTTGATCTATTGTCTGATCATTTGATTTGCTACGAGAGATCTGTTGAAGAAAGTAAAATCTAGGGTTAGGGATCTATCGGATTCCATCTAATGGGTAAATATGACGGCTCTAACCCTCAGATGGCATATTGCGGAGTTGGGAATAACTTTGTTTCAGTCAACCTGAACAAGTCCTATGGCCAACAATCATCTAAACATCACTACCCTTCACATTATTCAGGTTCTTATGGGTCGAACAGGGGTCGGACCGTTGCTGGTGGCAGAGGAGGGGGAGGAATGGTGGTTCTTTCGCGACCTCGGAGCTCCCAAAAGGCTGGGCCCAAGTTATCTGTTCCACCCCCCTTGAATTTACCATCCATGAGGAAGGAACATGAAAGATTTGATTCGCTGGGGACTAGTGGCATGCCTGCCGGTGGTGGGATTTCGGGGAATGGGCCAAGACCTACATCATCCGGGATGGGATGGACAAAGCCTGTTACAGTCGTTTTGCAGGAGAAAGAAGGGTGGCATGGTAATCATGTGAATTCTGGGGTTGATCAGAGTTCCAATATCGATGATGGCATAAGTAGGGGAAATTGTGGTGTTCCTGTATCACCTTCGGCTAGGCTGTGTTTGGTAGGGCCAAATATCTCAGTGTCTGCTTCAACTCAAGGTTTTCCGCCTCTGGATAAAGCTACAGTGTTGCGGGGAGAGGATTTTCCTTCATTGAAGGCAGCCTTGCCTATTGTATCAGGGACTGAAAAGAAACACAAGGATGGTCTGTGTCAGAAACAGAAGCCATTGGCAAGGGAGCTGTCTAATGAGCAAAGGGATGGTTCTCGTTCGAGTTCGGTTATTGATATGCGCCCTCAATTGCATTCAGGAAGAATTGCTGCTGACAATGGCTTGAGTGAGAATGGTAGTGAAGGACATGGTGTAATTGGTTCTCGTTTATTAGAGCAAGGCAAGAAGCCTGATGATTATTTTCCGGTTCCACTTCCACTGGTTCACTTGAATCCAAGATCTGACTGGGCTGATGATGAACGTGATACAGGTCAGGGTTTTACAGATCGGGGAAGGGATCATGGATATTCAAAAAAGGAAGTCTACTGGGATAGAGCTATCGATATGCCAAGGGCTGGTGTGCTGCCACACAGGCCAGCACATAGTCCTTTAGACAAATGGGGACAGCATGATAATGAAACCAGACGAACTCCTTCCTCTGAAGTCTCTAAATTGGACCCTTATGGAAGAAATAGAAAAGTACCAAGCAGAGAAGGGCGTGAAGGAAATTCATGGAGAGTTTCTTCCCCTCTTCGTAAAGAGAGAATTGGTTCTCATGAAATTGCAAGTGACAAAAATGCTTTTGGATCAATGTCTTCAAGTGGGAGCAAAGAAAAGGAGAGTAAATATATTTCGTCGCCGTCAAGGGACAATGCTAGGGATGATATTGGAAAAAGGGATGTCGGTTATGGAAATGGAGAAAAACAAGCTTGGATCAACACAACTGAAAGGAATGTAAGGGACCATTACGGCAATGAACAGTACAATAGATACAAAGGTGATGCTTTCTATAATAGCTCCTTATCAAAATCTTCTTCTTATGGTGGTAAAAGATTTCCTGCTAATGACCCTGGACTAAATCTTGGTATAGCAAAACGTCCTTTGTCCAAGAATGAAAAACCATATTTGGAAGACCCTTTCTTGAAGGACTTTGGGGCTACTGGATTTGATGGAAGGAACCCATTTGCTAGCAATCTTGTTGGGGTCATAAAGAGGAAAGATGTGCACAAGCAAACTGATTTTCTTGACCCTGTCAGAGAATCATTTGAGGCTGAACTCGAGAGAGTGCAGAATATGCAGGAGCAGGAGCGGCAGCGAATTGTTGCAGAACAAGAAAGAGCTTTGGAGGAAGCTCGTAGAGAAGAAGAGGATAGACTGCAGTTGGCAAGGGAAAAAGAAGAGCAGCAGAGGAGGATAGAAGAAGAAGCTAGGGAAGCTGCATGGAGAGCTGAACAAGAGCAGTTGGAAGCCTTACAAAGGGAAGAAGAGCAGAGGATTGCCAGAGAAGAAGAAAAACACAGGATTCTTATGGAGGAGGAAAGGAGGAAACAGGCTGCTAAACAAAAACTCTTAGAGTTGGAGGAAAGGATTGCCAAGAGGCAGGCTGACACATGTAAGAGTGGTGGTAATATATCTGCTGGAGCAGATGAGAAAAATTCAGGTATGGAAAAAGAAAGAGACGCATCAAAAGCAACAGATGTGAGTGATTGGGAAGATGCTGAAAGGATGGTCGAAAGAATAACAACTTCAGCATCTTCAGATTCTTCTGGTCTAAATAGATCCTTTGAAATGACTTCTCATCCTCACTTCTCTAGTGCTTCGGAATTTTCAGATAGAGCTAAGCCCTTTAATTCATGGAGGAGAGATGTATTTGAAAATGGAAACAGCTCTGCTTTCACTGGTCATGAGACAGAAAATGGTAACCGTAGCCCCAGGCGAGATATTGGTGGTAGACCTTTTCCAAGGAAAGATTTTTATGGAGCAACCCCATACATTTCTTCTAGGCCTTACTATAAACTAAGGGTTCCGGAGTCCCACATGGATGATTTTGGTCAGCCGAAGGTTCTTCAGAGTTTGAATGTTTCTGCAGATGGTGACTGCCACGGCAGGAATACTGCGATTGAATCTGGATATCATGACAATCTAGCTCAGAATTATGGTGATGCGCCACGGGGGCAGCATTGTCGTGGTATTATTTATCCTCCTAACCCTGAGAGATTCTATAACAATCCTGAAGTCGATGGGCTTTCTTCCTTTGGGAGGTCACGATATTCTGTGAAGCAGCCTCGTGTTTTGCCTCCTCCATCTGTGTCTTCAATGCAGAAAACCTCATATAGAGGTGAGAATGTGTGTCCTGGTCCCTCGACATTCCAAGAAAATGAGGGACAATCTACTCATGCAAGAAGAAGTGGATTTGGCTTGGAGGGAGTTTATGATAGTGGTCGTCAAGATGATCTTGGACAGCATAAAATTTTAGTTCGTCAAACTGATAATACCAATAATGAAGCCCAGAAAGTGGAAGACTCACAGTCATCCCTATCTGTTTCAAGCCCCCCAGATTCCCCAATACATCTTTCTCATGATGAGTTAGATGTGTTTGGAGATTCTACTGTATCATCTGTTGAGGAGGGTAAAGAGGCTGGGTTGTCAGTGCAGGGGATTGAACCCTTTACCGTTGAAGCTGGGAAAGAGAATGTTCAGATTGCCTCAAGTTCTATTTCTGCTGGTGAAGATGATGAATGGCCTATTGATAATAAACAGTTGCAGGTGCAAGAAGAATATGATGAGGATGAAGATGGATACCAGGAAGAAGATGAAGTGCATGAAGAAGATGATGGTAATGTTGATCTGATGCAAGAGTTCAATGAAATGCATCTAGAGGATAAGCAGTCTCCTGACATGATGGACAACTTGGTGTTAGGCTTCAATGAGGGGGTTGAGGTGAGCATCCCAAATGACGAGTTCGATGAAAGTTCGAGGAAGGAGGACTCTGCATATTCAATATCTCAGATTTCTGTTGGCACTGTAGAAGAGAAGGCATCTTTTGATGGGATAAATAGTGATAGAAAACCCCTTCAGTCCATGGATTCATCTTTCCAAGGGAGTTTAGATAATTCTAGAATTTTCCAGGAAACTAAGAAGCCAATGCAGGATCTTGTTATTCAACCTACTGCTGATCCTAAATCATGTGAGGTAATGGATAATGTGGATGCTACTGGTAGCTCCAATGGGTTGGCTGAGCATACTCTCCCCTATTCTGTCGTAACTGCTTCCAATTCAACATCTGGTCTGAGTGGCACACCTAATGCTTCTGTTCCAACTAAGGATGAAGTACCTGTAAAACTCCAATTTGGGCTGTTTTCAGGCCCTACATTAATACCTTCCCCAGTTCTTTCCCTACAGATTGGTTCAATGCCTCTCAATTTGCATCCTGAGGTTCGAGTTGGACAATCTTCCGGCCAAATGCACACATCACAGCGTCCTCTCTTTCAATTTGGTCAGTTAAGATATACATCTCCTATTTCCCAGGGTATGCTGCCGTTGGCTCCACAATCTCTGTCTTTTGTCCACCCAAATGTTTCAGCTAACTTATCCCTCAACCAGAAACCTGGAATCCCTTTTCAGCAGTCCAGTCAAGATACTTCTGTGCTTAATCTAATAAAAACTGAAGTTTCATCTCTTCTGGAAAATCAGTCGGGTCTTCCAAGGTCTTGGGATTTATCACATGGGAATGTGTTGAAAGAGGAAAGTTCCATACCAGCCAGAGAAAACAGAGAGAATGTTGTGACAAAACATGGTCATGTAGGGATATTAAATATTGGTGAGAATACAACTTGGTCAGACTCAAGTTTCCTTTCAGAATATCAGGGGCACCAGAATTCAGTTTGCGGGGACTCCAAACCCTTGTCTTCTAAACAATCTGGCAGTGACATTCAAACTGTTCTGACATCATCCCAGTCAGCTCCGAAAGATAAAATTTTAAGTGGAGTAAGAGGTCAAACTTATAGTAATAGGGGGAAAAAGTACGCCTTTGCAGTTAAAGGTCCAAGATCTGCTTTTCCATCTTCTGAGGCTTCTCGCCAAGAGTCTACTGGATATCAAAGGAGGGCTCGGCGTCCTCGGACTGAGTTTAAAATTAAGGAAAATTCTGATAAGAAGCAGTCTTCTAGAATGGTTTCTTCAAACCAAATTAATCAAGTTGAGCTGGCTGAGAAGTCAAGTGCCAATGAGAGTTCTGGATTTTCTACAAGAGAAGGGGTGAGGAAAGTCACTTTGAATAAGTCGAAGCAGAGAGTTGAATCAGAATATTCTACTTCAGTTCTGGGCAGTTATCTGCAGATAAATTCTGGGAACAGGAATGGAAAGGGGTTGGGAAAAGAATCATTGATGAGGAGTTTGAATGTCCCACACTCTGAAGAAAGTAATCTTAAGAGGGACATTGAAAAGGATGTAGATCCTCCTTTGGAAAGTGGCATTGTGCGCATATTTGAGCAACCTGGAATAGAAGCAGCCAGTGATGGAGATGACTTCATTGAGGTCAGATCAAAGAGGCAAATGCTGAATGACAGGCGTGAGCAGAGAGAAAAAGAAATCAAAGCAAAGTCTCGGATCACGAAGGTTGTTATGCACTTATTCATGATTTTACAGTCAGATGTTCCCTTTCTTTTTGTTGGTTCAGTGCAATATGACCATGTTTCTCACCATCATACTTTTTATTTTATTGAACAGATGCCAAGGAAACCTCTATCAATTCCACAAAGGTCCACTGTCTCGGCATGCTCCCATAGAACTGCTTCAGCAAGTGGCGAAGAAACGGAAAATGTCGGCTCTGATTTTGTCACCACTGAGGGACGTAATCTGTCAAATAATGAACCAGCAACAGGATTCGTTGCAACCATAGTATCCCAACCCTTGGCTCCAATTGGCACTCCTGCCACTAAAATTGATGCACAGGCCGATATAAGAACGCATGCACTGAAGTATATACCTATCTTGAAACGGTGATGTACAAATAAAAACTATGCATGCAAAGTGCTAAATCTGATGATTTTCTACAGGTCACTCCAGACAAGCTCCCTTCCAGCCGCCTCTGGTTGTGGACCCAACCTAGGAGCAGGCTTCATGTTTGAGAGCGACCATAAGGTTCTTGATAATGTTCAGACATCTCTGGGTTTGTGGGGTAATTCATGCACCAGTCAGCAGGTTTGATTACAGTTATTGGCATATTAGATTCTGTAGGAGTTTAGTGTTGCCCTCTGTTTCTAGATCTGCTAGACTCTTTGGATTCTGATTATTTCTCAATTTTGCCTTTTGTGCATCTTCTCACCAGTTTTCATGGGATCTCTATTCTCCTCTTGTTTTATATTCTGACTGATCTGACCTGCATAGCTCCTATGGTCTATGCTATTTTTATTATTACTTTGGAATCAGATTGATTTCACATGCATGCCTTCCTATTTTTTTTTGTTGCTTTCAACTTCTCCTCAACATCTTTAACTAAGGATTGGAGGAGTTCTGCATGTGTGGGGCCCTAATTTTTAATGTTACGCATGTCTCTTGTGTGCATCTCCATTCTAGATTGCGAATGATTAAACTTAACATTATGAAACATGATTGAACTGTCATTTATTTTCTGGCTTGTCGGTCTGATATTTATTTATTGATGACTTTAGTTTGAGTTTATCCTGGATTATTTTGCTTGTAGATGCTGCTATTCTTTCTTAATTGTTTGGACGGTAAATCTGAGAAATTCTAAGATGAATTTGGCTGCAACATGTAGGTACTGACACAGGTCCAACTTGATGATGCATTGAAGCCTTCTCAAGTTGATACTTGTGCACCTTTTGGAGATCATACTAGCCCCATTATGGATCCTAGCATGTTATTGAAGGGAAAGTCATCTCCTGCTGCAAGTGCACTAAATACTTTGTTTGCTGGGGAGAAAATACAATTTGGTTGGTGAATTATTTTTTTCTGATATTATATAGATTTTTAGAATTATTGATACGGCCTAAATTGTCGTTTATACAGGAGCAGTTACATCTCCGACAGTTCTCCCTTCTGGTGTTCGTGTCGCTTCACATGGTATTGGCCATCCAGGTCCATCTCGATCAGAAATTCAAATGTCTCACCATGTTTATGAAGCCGAGAATGATTGTAGCTTTTTCTTTGAGAAAAAGAACTCAAATGAATCTTGTCTTCATTTGGAAGATTGTGGAGCTGAAGCCGAAACAGCTGCTTCTGCTGTTGCTGTTGCAGCTATTACTAATGACGAGATTGTTGGGAAAGTTATGAGTACCTGTACTGTTTCTGCTTCAGATGATAGAGGTTTTGGAGGTGCAGCCATTGATGTTATCGGTGCATGTTTTTAATTATAATAGTCTGCAGTCACAGGAGCCATGTATGTTTTTCATTGTGCTGATGTTAATAACTTTGTTGGCTTTTTTTCTTTGCAGTTGGTTGTAGTCAGCAATTAGCAAGTCAATCCAAGGCAGAAGAGTCTCTCAGTGTTTCTCTTCCTGCAGATCTTTCTGTTGAGAATCCTCCAATATCTTTGTGGCCACCTTTACCTAGTCCACAGAATTCAAGCCAGATGATTTCTCATATTCCTGGAGGCCATCCTTCACAAGTCCCCTTCTACGAGATGAACCCCATGATTGGGGGTCCAATTTTTGCCTTTGGGCCACACGAGGAATCTTCATCTAGTCAATTGCAGCCTCAGAAGAGTAGCTCGCCGGCTTCAGGTCCCCTAGGGACCTGGCATCAATGCCCGTCTGGAGTAGATTCCTTCTATGGTCCTGCGACAGGATTCACTGGCCATTTTATCCCCCGACCTGGAGGTATCCCTGGGATTCAAGGCTCACCCCATATGTTTGTGTATAACCATTTTGCTCCTGTTGGACAGTTTGGACTAAGTTTCATGGGTGCAACCTACATCCCATCTGGCGAGCAACCAGATTGGAAGAACAAGCCTGCTTCTTCAGCCATTGGTGAAGGGGATGTGAACAATTTGAACATGGCATCATCACAGCATAATTCTTCTAACATGCCTGCTCAAATCCAGCATCTTGCCCCTGGCCATGGTTCGCCTCTTCTGCCCATGGCTTCTCCACTTGCCATGTTTGATGTGTCTCCTTTCCAGGTAAAATCACCAAACCTCAAGGTATTGGCTTCATGAATGCATTTTTTTTGGGGAGCCTAGCCTCCCCTTTTTTTTCCAAATTAATTTGTGTTTCCTGCTCAGAAGTGAGTTGCTGATATGGATGTTCTGGAAGTAGTAATCAATGCTTTTGAACTGAATTTTATTTAATTGGTGCATTTTTAATACTGGATGATAAGAAATGTCGTAGTTTTTTGGCATGTTTTGTTTGGTTTGACGGTTTAAAACTCATTTTCCCAACTTCTCTGACCTGGATAATGCACACCTTTAAAAAAAAAATTCAGTCCACGACAGACATGCCGGTCCAAAGTATTTGGTCTCACATTCCTACTTCACTTCTGCAGGCTGTTCCATCATCATTTCCGTTGCAGCAACAGGCTGTTGTACTACCTTCTGGGTTCAGACATGTCCCTCCTGTTGACAAGTCATTGGCTAGCGATAGATTCCTCGAGACCCAAACATCAGCCTCTGACGCCAATCTGAAATTTCCTGTGACGACAGAAGCAACCTTCACCCAGTTGCCTGATGAACTAGGGTTGGTGGAAGCATCTAGCTCCACCATTGCTACCACTTCTGCACAACACGTTCCTAAAAGCTTGTCCCTCACTGAAGTTGCAGATACTGGCAATACTGATGGCCAAAATGGTGGTGGTATTAAAAGTAATTGCCAGACTACAATCTCTGCGGTCAAGTCTCCATCTTCCCAACGAAAGAACATCTCACCTTCCCAGAATTACTGTAATTCATCCGGGTACGGTCATCAGAGAGGAAGTGGAGTTTCACCAAAGAACGGCTCGGGTGAATGGAGTCATCGAAGAATGGGGTTCCAAGGAAGAAACCAATCCGTTGTTGGAGACAAGTACGGCAAGGTAAAGCAGATTTATGTGGCTAAACAAACCAGTAAAGGGACATCAACATGATGATGGTGATGATGATGATGGGAAAATAAGCAAAAGAAGCTTATCGGACTAAAGTCAGAAATAGGTTGAAGGAGTGGAGCATTTGGTAAATGCTGGGTTTTGGAATTTTACCAGTAGGAGCTAAGCTATCAAATTGCTAAGTTGGTTTCCCAGATGAATATTTGCTATACTGGTTAATAAGTAGCAGTTTTGATTTCTAGCTAGGAAGAGATCTGGGGATTTATTTGGTGTGCCTAGTTGACGTTTACCTCTTGTTTGTGTGGAGGAGCCTTCATTTATTAATCATATTTCAGAGAGTTCCATCAAATCTTATATGAAACATCACTTATGAAGCCACACTAGACTAATCCAACAAATTCAATTTTAAATCTTTTGCCGAGCACGATTCTGATAATTGTTATCTTTTGAAGTTTTGAGTTCGAGTATTATATTTTCTGAACAAAATAACTGAGATTTTGGGTTCGAGTATTATATTATAAACATTCTCTTTTAAGAAAATAATTGAGAGTCAAAACAAATATCATCTTTAGTCACCGCATGCTAATAAAAAAAAATCTTTTGCTGGGCGCAGTGGTACTAGTCGTGCTCCAACTTAATGTTCCATAAAATGTTTCAATAGAAGGGGATGGAACCCGGGATTATTTTAGTAAATTACACACCCAAGTCATCTAATTATTAATATGTTTTTGTTTTGGTCACATTATGTTAAGTTATTAATAAAATTACTGATGTCACCATTTTAATTGATATAATAATATATTCAATCCTTAATACTTACATATTTCGTCAATTTGATCTTAATTCCGAATAATTTAATCCTCCATATTTGTAAGTTTTATCAATTTTTCCTTCATTTTCCTTTCACCAAGTTTCTCAATCTCTTCGTCTTCTTTTTTATCTGTTTAAAATTTTCAACTAATTTTCTTTTAATGTGAAAGCATTTTGGTGATTCCATTAGGTTTAACATACAGGGGCGGAACACAGTGAAGGCTAGTGGGGGGAAATAGCCTCCTCAAAACTTCAAAAATTGTAATTTTGACTCTTAATATTTAAAAAATTAATTTGGCCCCAAATTTTTTTAGGAATTCAGATTAAGCTTTTAAATTTTTGAATGTTCTTAATTAAATCCCTCCAATAGTTTTTAAAAATTCTCATTAAGCCTCTCAAATTTTCAAAAATTTTAGTTAGATAACATATTTTTATTGAAAAAAATGTAAATTGAATCCTTCAATCTTTTTTGAAAATTTAATTTTAACCTCTAAAGTTTTTAAATTTTGAGTTAGTCCCCCAAACTCTATTACCAAGTTCCGCCACTGTTAATATATGTGACTTTTTTACAAAAACTATATTTGTAATGTTCCAAAAATTTTCTGACAGTCGAAAAGTGTTGTAATCGGCAAGTGCTAATAATCAGTCATTGATAATAATCTTAAATTCGTGCAGTGTACAATGTGTTAGAGATTTAGGAAGAGATTTGGAGATTTAAGGAGATCATAATTCAAAATTAACCAAGTTCCACTCAAATTATATATGAAACATCACTTATGATGATGTGGAGCGGAACTGGAATAATCCAATAAATTGAATTTTAGAGTCTATTGATTTCAAAATAAATTCTGAAAAATGGAAATATTTTTTTTGAAAAATAATGTTTAAAAATCATTTTATTGAATTTGAATACTGCTACATAAATTATTTTTATATTTATAAATAGTTTTTCTAAATTATTTTATATTTTAATTAAAAAATTCTTCTTAATGATGGTTCGACATAAGTTGCTTGGATTCACTTATATGTTGTGCAAGATCATTCTTTTTGGCAGATTTCGGGGTAATTGGGCGTGGGCAAGCTTGCTGCAGCAACGGCTTAAGGTGATCTCGGTTTTTAGCTTTCTTAAGGATGCTTCAACGTCGCTGTGAATGCGATCCGTGTGCATTGGGGAAAATTGGTGTGACATTCGGGTCATATCCAAAGAATTCGATGATCGCATGGATGGCGATCTTGGATAGGCTTCCCACGAGGAACCGTCTTATTCCTTTTGGTTCCAATATTGATGGATGTGTTTGAACGAGCTTGAGACTCGTACCTTTTCTTTGATTGTGCTTATTATAAATGTATTTGGGGGTTGGTTTTGCGGGCTTGTAAGGTGTTGAGACCGGTTTTGAGCTGGAAGCAGGAGCTCAGTTGGGCTTGCAGAAATGCCAAGGGAAAATCAGTGTTGTCGACGGTGTGAGACGAGGAGAATCTGATCTTATTGGCTTCCTGAAGGAGATGGTGCAGTGGAAGCTGGCTGCCTTGCTTGAGGATAGAAGGGTAGTTTAAATTATAACAGTAGGAAAGTTATAATCAGACTGGATGAGCTAGAAACAGAAACACTTGCAATTCCTTCAGTTGCTATTTGAGGAGGAACCATTGATTCATTAACGTGCAATTTACAGATTCTTTTTACAAAAAAAGATAGAAGAGGAAAGCAAAGTACCCTTTAGTCTCTCTTATTTGTATAAAGAAAAGTTTCAGTACATCTTGATTCATCGCCAACAGAAACATTTAACAATACTGCTTAAAAATCCTAGTTCCGACACCAAAACCTTATTTCGAACAACTTTATGAAATTTCAAGTCTTTCTTCAACATTGAGTGCGAAGTTGAACCTTAACCAAAGCTTCTTCTCATTGCAACAAATCTCCATACTTACCAAGACCTTGAAAAGTTCTACACCGAGTTCACTTAAACGTCGGACTCCAACAATGACAAGGAAAATAAGAGAGGACATCGATGAGTTTAGAACGAGGAGCCAAAAAGAGAAGAAGAGAGTTTTCAGCGGCGCAAAAGCTAAGGAGATGGAGACGATGAATGTGAGCAATGCCAATCATGTTCTCAACGTTGAAGAGGTTCTTCATTACTATTCTTGCCTCACATGTCCGGCCTATGTCGTTGACAAATTCTTCATGGAGATTTGCAGTGCGTTTTTGGGGTTAACGGAGAAAAAAATAATAAAAATGTCATATCATCATGGGGTTAGAGACAAAACGGTTGAGTGACAAAACGGTGAGTAACATAGGAGAGAGATTAAAGTTTAGTTACTAAATATATAATTTACCCAAACAATATTATTATTTATTATAAAAAAATTCTCTATATATATTTTTTTTTAAAATGAAAAGAAAAGAAAAGAAAAAACAAAGCCCTTGCATTCGAGGGGGCGAGAAACATATAGCATCTACTTCTTCTTTGGAATCCCTGCTTGCTTCGTAACTGAATTGCTTGTTATGGATCAAAGGGTGAAGAAGGAAGCTGTAGAGATACTTAAAAGAACGACGTCGTTTTCTGGTCGGAAACTCAAATCTGCTGGCGAAGAAGACTTCACCCTCGCTCACTCACCCCTCACTCCTACGCTCCACCCTTCTTCTCCGGTCTCTCTTTTCTTCTTCCTCTCCTTCTTGCTTTCTGTTTGTTTAGCTGGAATTCGAAGGAAAATGACAGAAACTATAGGAAAATAAGTTAGATCTTGTACTTGCTGCTGTAGGTTTCTTCAACAACAACAAAAAAAGAAGGTTCCGTACTGTCTTTGCTGGATTGGTAACTATTTGCATTGCATTATATCTTATTTTTGCAGGATAAGAAGACAAATAATAGGAAGAAAGCAAAGGCGTCAACTGAGAAAAAACTGAAGCTAAAGAAGAGCCAATCCGAGACCATAATCAAACCTGTAAAACCTTTATTCTTACTCTCTTTGCTTCCCTTAGAATTGTTGAATAGTTTTTACTGCTGTTACTAATATTTATTGTGTAACTACTCAATTGCAATCTCAAATTTCCAAAATGCATTGTTAAGAGCATCGATATTTGAATGATTGTTTTGGTTTATAGTCCCCCCCTTCTTTTGTTACTTTTAATTTCAAATATTGTTTTGAAGTGTCAAATGAAAACATTTTGTTTGATAACAAATTTGGCAACTTATAAGCACAAATTCAAGGATGTAGAGGTAAACTTATTTTAATATGCCAAACTAGTTGGCGTATAGAATGGACGAGAAGAGAGAATTTCTAATTTCAAACTTCCAGCAAGAATTGTTTGTCTTTTACGTGATTAAATGGGAATTAGTACTAACAAATAGATTTTCGGACAGGCAGTGACGGATTCTGGGGGCATGAAAATAAGGTTAGTCAAGTATCTAAAAGAGATGGAATTTACATACGCTGTTTTACAGTTATACTGCTCTTTGATTCATTATCTGATGATTTTTTTTTTCCTCTGGAAGCTCTATGAAAAATAACGCCGGTGATGGAAGATGCACCCCTGAAATTAAGTCTCCGGCTATGATTTGTGCAGAGGAAGTTCAATCAAACCTAGAACCTGAATTTCCCAGTTTTGCAAAATCTTTGGTTAGATCACATGTTGGAAGTTGTTTTTGGATGGTTAGTGTTGTCAAATGCCTGAATTCACTTCGTATAATTGTATTAACTGTGAAATTTTTTCCTTTTCTTGTGATCATATCATTTTTCTTTTCACAGGGGCTTCCTGGGGTGTTCTGTAGAATGCATTTACCTAGGAAAGATACTGCAGTCACTTTGGAAGACGAAGGTGGGCATCAATATTGTGTAAAATACTATGCTGATAAAACAGGATTGAGTGCAGGTTGGAGACAGTTTTGTAGTGCCAATAATTTGCTTGAGGGAGATGTTTTGGTCTTCCAGTTAGTTGAGCCAACCAAGTTCAAGGTGATGGTTTAAATTACATTTCCGTTAGCTATTCTTCTTGGCCTTCAATTTTTATTGAGCTTTTGAGGTTTACGTTGCTTAAGTGCAATGTAATTATATTTCTGTTGATAGTTCTGACTTATCATTGGAGTTTAATACTAAGAAGAAAGTTCTAGGTATGATTTATTTCTCCATGTCTCAACATTGGATGGGCATCCACTATGATTTAGGGCTCTAGTTCTGGGATTAGAGACCGACCCTCCAGCCTAAAATGTGATATTCTATTATAATTATGTGTTATAATATTAATATTGATAAAATATGCTGGTAAAACACATGGTTGAATGTATTTTTATTGGGAAAATAGAGAAAACGCAATGGAAGGAAAATATGGATAGAAAAATGAGGGGAGGCTGCGAGGTGCTAGGCCGCCTCCAACAACCTTAGTGATTTTGTCTCTAGAGGGATGCCATCCATTTTGGGATTGTACCTCTTGTGCTGTACTTCTGACATTGGCTTCCGTAGAAAGTTCAGCATGGGGGTAGCATAAGTCATATATATTGTCCTTTTCAGCGTG